TTTTACAAAGAGATCTCTATCCAGTTCTCTAAATCAACTTCTGGAAGGATCTACTTTCTTAGTAACTTCAGGGAAGCTTCCCCCCTTTTCCCTAATTGCAAGTGATTTTTAAAGAATGAGAGTTTAACTGAAGCTAAAGAATGAGAAAGGAAATAATAACCCTAAGCTAAGACCACAAACTTTTCTTAAGCCTTGCCTGTGCTTTTAAACACAGAAAGGATAACAGAGTTTAATTTTTTGGCTTATTTTATAAGACTACTCTTTTTTGGATTTTTTTAAATCAAGAAGGTTTTTATTGAAATTTTGCAAATATATAATCTATTTTTTCAATATAAATTTTTATTGAACTTTTTTGCATTTCGTACAGTACATCTTAGTCATATTTAGATCCCCCCTCTCCTATCCCCCAGCTTCCCCATAGCTAGACCACTTACTTTGGAGGACAGGCTTTCTTGAAGGTAATACATGCAACTAGATGAACATACCTCATTTTTCAAAACTTTGATCAATACAGAATGGTTCAAATACACCATTCATTCACATCAGGTGAACTCCAAACTCCAGGGACTGACCTAATTAGCTTGTATAACTGCAGGAAGCATTTTTTCATGTGTATAAAAATCCTACTGATTACAAGAGGTTATTTTAAGAAATGACAATCATCTATTCATTCAATTAATACTTACTAAACATTGAGTACAGTTTAGGCCCTGTGCTGGGACTAGGATATAGTGAAGGATACAGCCTGGTTTCCTGCTCGCTAAAAGAAATAGTGGAGTAAGGGAGGTATAGCAAAACAAAATGTCAAATACATAAATAACAAAGGGTTACAAAATGTACTCAATAAAACAGTGTGATAGTGGCCTGCTGTTTTACCTGCTGAGGTTAGGGGAGGACCACGTATGAGCAGGAACCACAAGTGAAATGGGGTCACCACAGATCTTGGGATGAACATTTCAGATAGAAAGTAAAGGGCTCAAGAGGAACTGGGTATGCTGTGGGACAGGAGGGCCAATGCCAAGAATCACAGTACACATGGGTTGTGGGGTAGCTATAGCCTGGGTGTTGAGAGCTCACAGTGTGTTCATAGTGGGTTCCGAGTCTGGGTTTTATTGTGTCTGCAAAGAGGTCATGCAATAAATGGCAGGGTCATAGAAAGAGCCATCCAGCACAGTGCCTGATATTTATGCCTTATCCACTAACTACCGGAGACAAGCCTTACAGTTTTGGTGGTTATTTTGCAGTTCTGAGGATTGAACCCAAGGCTTTACATGTACTAGGCAGGTGCTCCATCACTGAGCAATACCCTTCACCCATTAGTTTTTCATATTAGTTATACAATACCAGGGGATAGCTTTCCTCCTGTGCAGTATAAATCTAAGCTACAAGCTCAGTGTGAACTTACAAAATGTCTTTTCTACTTTCATTACATTTTTTGCTTGAAAGAATTGAGTAGTAGTTTGATTTCCATTAAACAACTGGCTGATCAGTCTTTATCGTGACTTTTAAAATGTTAATGAAGGAAATTGATTAAATTAATTAAGACATCTAAGGAACTACTGAAGACACACCATTAAAGTGGAAACTGCCACCAAATAAGAGAAGCGGGAAAGTTACTCATGGCATCTTGCCATGTAGCTACTGCCAAGTATAATAAAACAATGCATCTTCTCATTAGAGAGTGTGGATTAGACATGTCTAAATTGAGTGGTTTTCCTAAAAGCACAAAAATTAGAGGCAAAATTTTACATTTACAATCCTCTTTTCCGTTTTCTCCAAATCATAGCTATTTCTGTGAAGTCTTAGTCTATTCACTTCCCTCTCTCCCTCCACAAGTTGACAGATGAGTTGCTATTTCATCATTCGCTGCACAAAAATCCGTGCCACTGCTTTGTTCTTTCCCGCTTTTTTAAAAGAAAAAATAAATGAGTGTGCATGCCTGCCACCATGCCCATGTGGAGACTGGAGGACAATTTTGGTGTCAGTTCATTCCTTCTACATTTAAGTGAGCGCTAGGAATTAAACTCAAGTATCTACTTGCATTTACTCCCTGACCCATCTTGTCTGTTTCTCTCTTTTAACTACAAATATTTATAATCTACTACACATGTCATGTCCTATAAAAATTTCAAAGAATTTATGATAATGTAAAGTAATGAAACAGTCCCCAATCAAACAGTAATAGCAGGAAATTAGCACATTGTGGAGAAAAATGCACTGTTCTGCAATTCTGCACTGTAATGACTCACAGGGAGGCCTGGGTTTTATTGACTCTGAGTTTTGTCTTATAGAATGTAAATCTTGTATAGTAGCAAGCTTGCAATAGATCCAACATAAAACCCTTGCCTATTTTACAAAAAGCTCCAGAAATCTAAACATACAAAAGGAAATTAAGGAAGATATATTTTCAAAACTATGCTATATAGTTTCTGAATAATGACCAAATAATGTGTTCCACTAACTTTGTCTGGTCCACTTTTATATACTGATTCAAAGCACTAAAAAATACAATGTGCATGTGTGCACATATCACAGACTTTAAATTATGGATAAGCCTTTTAGATTAATCATCATTTTTACCCCTGAGTTGGTAGGATTACAAATGTGTAAAACTAAAAATTTTTTTATTATATATATATGAAAGTAGAAGGGGGACTTTGAGGAGGGAGAAAAGAATTGAAGGGAAGGGGAGGAGAGGGTAAGACAGTAACGAGAAGACAAAATAGTGCACATTTCCTCTCACTTCGGAATCTAGATTTGATACTATATAGATACAGACACAGACACACACACACACAAACACACACACACACACACACACACACATACACACAGAGCATGAGAACAGAAGGAGAACTGTCTAGAACAAGGAAACCAGTGAGAAGAGGGGACTGAATATGGGCGAAGTATAAGGATATATACGTATGAAAATGTCAATATGAAACCCATTTTTCTATGTTAACTAAAACTCTAAATTGATGAAAAAGAATGATACTAATCTTGATGAAAATGCTTTATGTAATGTATAAATATTGGCTTTAGTAATATTATTTTAGTTGAACAAATTT